AGCTGGTTCAAACATATTAAATACTGGACGAATACTAGAACAGAGAGGGTAAGGATTATAAATTTAAAATAATTATGCCACTAGCCTGAATGTTAACATTATTTTACCTAACCCGCTATGTTAAACTTCCCTATCCCAAGCGTGATATATACAACTTCCTTACTTCTCGAGTGATGTAAAGTTGAAAAAAACTCACTCGGTGATGTAATGAAACCTATTTAAATAACATTGAGTGCTTAACTTTAAAAAATATACCTCTATCGACGTTCAACGCTAGAAATCAGCTGTGCGCTTGAATGTTATTGTTGCCTGCTTTAAAGTATTTTCCTACTCGGTCCTACAAAGAACGACTGCGAAACGTGATGCGGCGCCGGTGATGGATAAGTCGCGACTCCTTAAACTGCTAAAAATGTTGTTGTTCTTTAATTAATGTTTAAATGTTTCGTGCGTGTTTTCGTGTGTGTAAATGTCTACATGTTTTTTGTAAAACCATGACGAACTCAACACCGAGGGATGTTTTATAAAGAAGCTGGCGTTCAACAAACCTGAAGATGTGCCAGTAATAGGCATGAAACGGCTGTAGTTTCATAAAACTACCGAGGATCGGAGACAGAAGCCAGGTAATATAAACCTTATTACTGCTAATTTTATGATCCAGAGACCAACCATCATGAAATAAAAATATTTATGGAACTATTATTTTCTTAGAAATTGTACTTTAGGTGGTGTAAAATAAATCATGCTTTCAAGGGAATGAGGTTTAATTGTAGAGATTGTCAAGCAATAACAACTGTTAATCGTGAGAAATGTCTTATTTTAAAGATAATTTTTGTCTGGTTAGAGAAATGGAACAGTGTGAGAATAACCAGTAAATAATAAAAAAAGAATGGGAAACTCACACTTGACACCTAATTTGCACAGACACAAACCGTCAGTACGTATTGTTATTTGATGTTGTACGTGCTAATGGGGCCAAAATTTCAAACAGATGATTTAAAGGCTAGGTTCAGAAAATATTACCTATCAGATGAGTTGGATACTGTATCTCTGTTGCACAAGTTGTCAAGTCAGAGAAAAAGCTTAAAACCCCCTACTATTGTTAAGGTATATTCTGCTAATAGGGTTTTATTATAATAACTAGCTGGCCTATCTTAATTTATTTAACAGCTTTTTAATTTTAATTTTGAGATTCGAGTATCAGGATACGATCTTTGAAGCCAACTGTTGGTTAATATGATCAAAATAAAACAGCGAATTCTGTTTACTTAGTTGAGATTACAAAATAAATAAAGATAGGCTACTAAATAATGAAATGTTTACAATTAATTTAAAACAGAAATAAGAAAATCAATTTCTAAAATCGGCCAGGGGGTAAAATTCCGGGGGTAAAAATCCGGGGGTAAAATTCCGGGGGAAAAATCTGGGGGTAAAAATCGGGGGGGGGTAAAATTCCGGGGGTAAAAATCTTTAGCGACCCGTAGCGGCAGCGGGACCGTCTACAGTTGTGACATCACACAAGTAGCAGCACGGCCTGTACTATACTGCGGTAGAGTCCCGTTAGTCCGAAATGGTTGGGACCGGGCCCATTTCGGATTACCGAATATTTCGGATTAAACGTTTTTTTTTGTTTTTTTTACTTTTTTAAAATTTTAGAATTTTTTTTTTACTTTTTTGAAATTTTTGAAATTTTTTGGGATTGTTTTTTAGATTACTTAGACCTAGTGGCTGCAGCATTATCACTTCATAAAATCCATTTGTGATTTGGGGGGATTGGAACCCTGAACGAAAATAAAAAATGTTAATAACAAAAATTGTGAAATATTTACTAAAATACTCAACAAAAAAGTCTATCTTGCCCGGCCGCTACAGAATACTTTGACGAGATACAGCTAACTGTGTTAAAAGTTTAATAAACAAAAATTTTAAAAAAATTCCTAAATAATTTCAAAAAAATTTCAAGTTTTCAAAAAAATTTCAAAAGTTTTCAAAAAAATTTCAAAAGTTTTAAAACAAATTTCAAAAGTTTTCAAAAAATTTCAAAAGTTAAAAAAAAATCAAAACATTTTCAAATTAAAAAAAAAAATCAAAAAATTTTAAAAAATTCAAAAAAAATTTTAAAAATTTATTTTTTGGTTTCGGATTAAGCGGACTTTCGGATTACCGAAGTTCGGATTATCGGGACTCCACTGTATATCTAGTGCGGCCTTGTCTGACCCCGTTGCGAGGCACGGGTATAGTTGCTAGTTCGTACTAGCAAATACGAATAATATGTAGTAGCGTTGGTTGCAGTAGCACCAGTCAAATAACGAGGGACCGGCACTACTAATTAATTGTGACCAACGGGATTGATTTATTTAGTATATTATATCAATTAGAGTTAATCATATACTACCACAAAGTCTTCTTTCAACATCAATTACAATTCCAAAATACCCCCACCGCAGCAAACCCTTTTGTGTGACTTTATTTTTAATTAAATCTAATTCGATAACATTAGCCCTTTTTCCACTCTCGTGACGGCCGTTTCGCTATCGTATCACATGTCTGCTTAAAAAAATCAAAAAATTAAATTTTGTGATTTATTTTTATTTTTTATTATTAGTGTAGTTGGAAGTTAAGATACTGGTATGCTTAATGACCTGCATAATAAATTAAACATAGGGCATAGGGCATAGGCCCTTAAAATGAGAGTGGTAAGGGTTAGGTTTAACGAGTACCTAGGTTTGCTGCTACAGGGAGGGCAACGAAGTGTGATTTTTAGGAAAATATTATTAGCTTAGTATAAAATAAATAAATTGGCCAAGTTTATAAAAATTAAATCCATAAACAAGCAATATTACAACAGTTTACTTATGCTACTAATATTATAAGTAGGAATGCTTGTATGTCATGTATGTATGGATGTATGGATGTATGGATGGACAAGTAAATGCGTAAAATACTATACCGACAATGTGGAAATGTAATTTGGCATAGCGGGTATTCCCGATTAACATATAGACATTCTTACCTCAAAAATCCTTTGGCTCCGCCCCAGTGGCTCTGGATTTTCTTATGTTAACCTTATAAGTATTCGTATTCAAAGGAATTAAAGGATTTTGTCAGCCGTTTCAACTGCACAAATTGGTTCTATAATATTAAATAGTATTAAAAAGTTATAAGGCTTGCCAACAGGGTGCATCACTATTATGATTTTTGTATTTATGACAGCAGCTAATTTGAACCAACTAGCAACAAAAAGTTGTGATAATAATAAGATAATAATGGTTGAAGTTTTGAAATTTCGTCATGAGAAATAGTTTTGATAAAGGCCTAAGCAAGCATGCGAGCTGTTTTATTCGAAAACTATTCGAAATTTCACAACTTTAACCATTATTATCTTTGAAACGGTTAGGTTTATGAAAAAAAAAAAACACAAGAGTAAAATCGTCTTAAAATTATATTTCCTACTGGAATACATCATAAAATACAGGGTGTTCCATAAGAACAATCAAAGTTGGCGGCCATATTTGAAAAATGGTGGCTAAAATATTTTATTTTGGCTCGACTACAGTTTTTAAAATAAAAAATCCAAGGCACTTACCTTTTAACTTTTTTTGATATCTCTTATAGTTTTCGAATAAAACAGCTGGCACACTTATATCAATCACCCTGTATAGTGCGTATTAAAATTTGGTTTTCTTTTGAGTATGGTAAGGAAGAGTACAGTCAAAGTAAACATTTCGCACCACGACCTCACTGGCACGCCAGCCAAGGGGGAGCAGTTTACACCCTCCCCTCTTGACAGACTGTACCAAAATGTTCGTCTAGGTGTGTAGATGTGCAAACTGGCCTTTTTTTTTTTTTTTTTTTGAAAAAGTCCCTTAGGCCCTGCCCAAGTGACTTTTAAAGTTCCCATGTTATCCTTATGACGAACATATTTGTATACATTATGATCAGCTGGATAATTTAATTGCTGTTAGTTAAAATTTAAGGAAACGTGTGCTACAAACATTCGCTGACTTATATTTACTGTTTCAATTTGGGTTGGCATAAATATTACAAAAAGCGAAAAGGTGTAAACATTACAATCATGGAAAAAAACGAGAAAGCCTGGACATAAAAAGTAAACTGAATTAACACTGTGCTGCATTTTTTGAGCAATCATTGAAAGAGCTGATTTGCAAACTATGGAAACATAGGGACGTCATAGAATACCCCCAAGTAGAAATATAAATAATGTTTTTTTTTTTTTTAATTTATCGTTATTATGGACAACCTGATGCGGCTATAAATGGGAAACATTTGTAGAAAACACTAAAAATCAAGATCAGCTTTTGAAATATGATAAGATATTTACAAGAAATGTTGATTATATCATATCGAAGTGTTATGTACATCTTGAGTTTTCTATAATCGTTGAGTCGCCTCTTTTAAGGTCATCGGAAATTATTACTGTTATTCTTTTTTAAATAACACCTGTAATACTACGCAATTGCTCGAATTCGAGTAACAGGTACACTAGTATTTTATAATGTAGGAGGTAATTTGTCTAAAGAATATGTGCTTAGTCATGAAAAATCAATAGTTTCCATGGTAATCGTAAATGAATTGGAATAAGAATGAACTCTAAACTTTTATGGCCAATGGGGTGGAGCCCTGAGACATCGGATTTTCGAAACATGATTAGTCATTTTTGAGTGGTTCAGATTATTACCTACTCTTATAGTTTGAAAGGATCTATGAGGGGTCCTTCGAAACCATGATAATAATAACAAGTTGTACTTCCTAACCATTTTATAATTTTGATCTAAATAAAAAAAAAAATTATGCAATCACAAATCTCGATAACTATTATTAACTCTAATACGTGAGTTCGGAGAGTACTCCTAGTATATAATGCAACTTAACTTATACAATGGTGAAGGATTTGTGAGAATCTTGAGAGTCGGTTGATCGTTGACGGATATATCGATTATCGATTTCGCTTACTATCGATATATCGCCTTGACCGCGAACATTCAAGGCTCATTCCGTCCCCGTGTTCAGTATCTCAGTAGCCATGGTTTTGTTGCTTCCCCTGCTACATCTTCTTCCGGTTTTTCTAGGATCTGCCGAAGCCGGCGCATTAAGGTACGTAGGCTCAGCTATCATGTTCAACTGAAACTTTGAATAAATGAGGTCTTAAATTCCAAATACCCCCGCCGCAGCAAGCCTGCAGACTAAGCGAATTTCCATCTACTTGGCTGGAATTCCACTAAATTATTCCCCTAGAATTGTCAGATTTATTTCCTATTTAAATATCATTAATTTTAAAGAGTTAGGTTTGCTGCTACAAGGAAGAAAATAGGGGGTTTTTTAATTGAAATATTGATAGCTTAGTACGAAGTAAACAAAATTTCAAAATTTCATTAAAATATGTCCATAGGCAAGCAAGCTAGAACAGTTTATTTATTTTCCATAAGAATAACATGGTAATTTTAAATTTAAATTTTTTTAGGTTTTTCCGTAACCGTTAGGCATACAACAATGCTTCAATATAGAATTTATTTGTTTTTTAAGCTCTACAAAATGGCTTGAAAAGAAATTGTAAAATCTTATGTTTACAGGGTACCCCATAAAACCCCACATAAACCCCTGTTCCCATAGTCTGATCATGGTGGTTCTCGAATAAATGTAGGTTTATACGTTTATACCAAATTTCATAAAAATCAGATCATTTCTGCTCGAGTTATCGTGCTAACGGACACATATGGGATATTAATTAACAGCTGTGTCTAAGGAATATGTCGGTCCCAAGACTACAAGATCGTGCCACTCATCCTACACTCATCTCCATTCATACTTGACTTAAAATACTTACTTAGTATGGTCACCATTTCATCGGAAAGTATTAAAGTATATGTAAATATATAATATGTATTATTGTGATTGGGGCGTTTTCATATAGGCTACTACTATATAAACCATTTTAAACCAGTCTGCCATTTTATATTAAAACTAGCAAAATTTATGATTACAAAAAATGTTAACATTATCAACGTTTTTTAAATGTATTTAAAGCAAGATTAATGTTACTTATAACAAACAACAAGTTATACTTATAAATAACAAAAACAAATGATTGAATCAGCTGTTATGTTTTAAAACACTTGATTTACGTATAACAGACTAGCTTTTGTACCCGTGCTTTGCAACGGGAAGAGGACACAAAATAGAAACATTTTAATTTTTACATCTGTTGCATATAATAGTTACACATCCGCAAACGCTTTGATAAACAAAACTCAACTTTTATGGCCTTAATAGAAACGTTTAAGCTATGACTTATGAATCTGGTAAGTAGTGGATACCACCATTTTAGTTTTGATTAATTTTGAATCTTGTGTAGGCTGATATGAGAAAAACTGACCAAATCTTTGAATAAAACTTTGACATACATGATTTACCCTCATCTCCCTTGATTACATATCTTTTAATTTATTATTGACATTTTAAATTTTAATTTTGAAGTCCAAAAATACTAATTAGTAACTTTAAAATGACCATTTTTTAAATTTCACGTTTCTTCATATTAAATCACAAATCCTTCCATCTTCAGTTTCTTTACTCAATAAATCAATTAGCAAAACTAAGTCAGCTGTTATAAACTTTAGAAATATTGGTGTGCCTTATCAATAAATAGTCTTTTGAAATATTAAAGAAACTATATCTATACTATAAAAAATTGTAAACAAATAAATTAGCATTAAAGACAGCAGACAAAACTAATATTATTATCAAAGCATCAAGGACAAAAAATGTAATAGCAAATATAACATATGTTTCATTGCATCTCTGATTCTACCGTATTCAACAAAAATATTAACAAACAACTTAATATATAAACCAGTTATTTTGATCAGTTCAATCGCCCATTGCCTTTACATTTTCACACTTGCCATTAAGTAAACATAGTAGTAACAGATATGTCATTGATTTTAGAAACTGTTAAGCAGCTTGAATTTATTTAAAGTAGCCTCCAAAATCATACAAAACATCCATACATTGTAATTTTCATACTGTTTCCATGAAAATATATCAATAACATTATTTTCATAACACTTAAGACACAGAAATCGAAAGCAGAGCCTGACTTGATACAGCAATGCTTTTAGAATATTTTTTATTTCTATAATCCTTGACATAGTTTTTGAATAAATCTTTGATGGATTTTAAGATTAAATAAACCAACCATGTAATTGTGTGAAATATTAATATGTAATTTCATTGGATCAGCTGTCTTAAATTGTGAAATATGCAATTTGGCAGTTCTTCTTGTTTACATTGAAATGTCAAAAACAAATATAAACATTGTGAGTATTCTTATTGCAGCCATGGAGACCAATCAATATTTACTTTTAAAATTTCTCACCTCATAACTTTTAAAACCAAAGGGGCAAAGCCCACGGTTGGTATCGAAGTGTGAATAGTCCTATAATGGACCTTGGCATGGTAGCTATATTTTTATAAAATTTAAGCCCAGTTGGTTCAGTAGTTTTTGAACCTATTAGTAATACACATACAGACAGACACCATTAGATTTTTATATAATAGTATAGATATAGATTATTGTAAAGATATTTAAATAATGTAAAAGGAGTATTAGCATTTTTTTAAATAGAGAAAAGCTGTCATGCATTTGGATAAGAAGACATTTCTCTGTCATTATTTATCCATTCTTAACAAAAAAGGTACCATTGAAAACTACATAACATTTTCAAACTCTTTTGTCTCTTGCAATCCTTTTGTAAATTTAACGGTTTTCGTGAAATTTGGCATCAAATATTTTAAATAGCTGTCATTTTAAAACGGTTAATAATCTTTTACTATAATTTTAAATAAATATAGGTCTTCTTAATAAGATAAACATTTTTGAAAATCTCAACGCTGTATCTCAAACTGTTTAGGAGTTATTAATTTTCTTTGTACAAAACACATAAATACGGACAGACGGAAAACTAGGCACCCCAGACCCGTGTTGGTGAAATGTGTTTGTCTTGACCTAAGCAATAACGCTATATACATTTGTACAGAGACTTACGGGACCCCCTGTATATATATACATATGAATTCGATTGGATGGTGTTTTGGCCTCGCGGGACCTCAAAACGAAAAAGTAAATCGGTCCCAGGTGTAGGTCTTACTATGAGACCTACGGTAATATTTTATCCCTGCATAGGAAATTTGCTAAAATTTGTGTGCATACATTAAAGATTTTACCTTTGAGGCGGATTTTCATTGTTTTTACTTCACGCAGTGGAACTACTGCAAATAGACCTAGTACTCTACAGTAAGTGGTGGGATAAAAACACCACAAATCAGTTACTTAAAAATCGTGTTTAATTTAAAATTAGGGTATGATTTTAAACTAAACGTTCTAGTTTTTATTTTCCTAGTGTTTTAAACTTTTACTTTCCAGTACTCGGTACTAGTAGTTTGTATATAGAATGTTTAAAGCATTGAAATAGGCAAAGCCAAAGCTTGCTTATACTGTTTTAGATAATTTCCCAATTGTTAATACTCAATTTATTAGTACTCTACAAAGTTTAAGTTATTAAATCTATATATATAAAATCCAATGTATGTTTGTTTGTATGTATGTATGTTTGTTTGTTTGTTTGTTTGTCCTTTATGGACTCCGAAACCGCTCGACAGATTGTGATGAAACTTTCAGGCATTATTAAGCATTATTCAAGGATGGTTTGTGTGAAGTTTGGTGCAGATCCGTCTAAAGGGCTCCGCCCCAGTGGCTCTGGAGTTTCCCATGTTAACCTTATGAGTACTCATATTTAAATGTAATTTAAGAATCTTAACAGCTGGTTCAACTAATCAATTTGATTCTGTGATGTTCAATAGTATTAAAAAGTTAATAGGTTTACCAACAGGTTGCAGCACTATTATTATTTTTTTATGACATCAGCGAATTTGCAACCAAATGGTGAGTGAGCGTAGCAAACGAACTTTAACCTGGAGGCGAGTTAGCGTAGCGAACGAGCTCCAACCTAAAGGTGAGTGAGCGTAGCGAACGAACTTCAACCAGGACGTGATTGAGCCATGTGAACGAGCTCATCTTGAAAATGAACGAGCTTTTGACATAAAACAACATTGGGACAGGACGACGTCTGTCGGGTCAGCTAGTAAGAAATAAATCTGATAACTTTAAGGGAATATTTTCGTGTAAATCTAACCCGGTTTTAATACAAATTTGCTCTGTCTGCAGTTTTGCTAGCTGGGGCATTAAAAAAATACGATCTGTATTTCAGTTGTAACGTAAGTTGTTTACGATACTCGAAGAAATATGTTATTTATTTACACAAAAATTCAACAGTATAAGTAGGGCGAATCACTCAATATATTCTCTCAGAATCATAGTTGGACTGAACGAATGCGTTCCTTAAAGTGGTAAAAACTAAATAAATAATCTTACAATGTAAAGTGGTATATGCTTACATAATTTAATTTTGTTGGTAAGGTTGGGTTGGATAGGTAAGCATTAGGGATTTCTGTTGAACTGTTCTTACCTATCTAGTCAGATATTTCTTTTCATTTTCCAGATACGACCAGACCCAGACTGGAGACACCAACATCCATCTTCAGATAAAGAACGTCGAGGTTCTTGCGCTCCTAGACGACGTTGCACCTGGCGAGGTAATGGATTGTATTACTTTTACATTTCTTTGTATGTAATGATGTAATGATTAGACAGACAAAATGTTTTTTAAACATTGTTTGATATTAATGATACAGTAATAACAGTTGTTGTAGGCTGAATGGTGCAACAATACCAGGGAAATTTAGGCTTTTAAGGGTCAACTTGTAAAGGCATTAAATTTGTGGTTGTTGTTTTAATATTTTTGAAATCATCCAAATACAATAAACATCTCATAGTAGACTTTAGTGTTCACACTATTCTGCCTGATGTACGTTTAGTTTCAGTACGACTACGACTACAACGACTTCACAGAGAAGCCTCATAAGCCCCACAATGTCAGTGGTAGTTCCCTTGCGCCCCCCGAGCCCCCGGTACAAGCCAGTAACATGACCAGTGACACCGCCTTCCCCACCAACTCTACCGTCCCCGACACTGCACCGCCCCCAGCACCCTCCGAGGAGCCCCTGCTGGGCCCCACCGCCACCCCCGAGGCTCCTCAGACGTCGCCCAAGAAATCGCGACGTTGTGGCGCTGGCTTCTACCGCGACACGCTGGGCCGCTGTAGACGTATAAGGAGGCCTCATCTCCAGTAAGTCAGGTGACTGATTACACTTCATTATACTGCTGATTCATTTGAAAAACAAAACTGTTCTAAGCAATAGTTAGTTGTCATCCCAAAAACCAGTTTAATATTTATTTATATCTTTGACTTTAAAATTGGTAATACTTAATATTTAGTCATTCAGACTTACATGCTTAGATATCAGGGGTTGCAAAAACAGTAGTATTATCCTCTGACTGAGCAAGTCTATCATTTGCAGAGCAAGATACATTATTTTAGTAAACGTTTTAAAAAATGAAGATAGTCTCATCACAGAGATCTATAAACCAAAAATAGGTTAAAGTAAATTAGAAATTATGCATAGATTAGGGAGTGGTGAAAAAAGGAATGTTCATGTTTTTGTATTTATATTAAATTATTTCCATACCGAATATTTTTTAAGTGATGATATTTGTGGATGACGATGGTATCGCAGAGCATTTGCGATGCTTTATTTTATAAACAATGTCTAAGAACAAAAGCCTTTTCGAGTGATTTGGAAATGTATTATAGAAGCTTCCTTGTATTTTACAAATATAAAAGTAAGTTAATATTCAAACATGTCAAATGAACTATAAAATGATACTGTAACTCTCAATACTTTTACAACCAAACTTACTTTTGTCGTTCAATCATTTTTAGAATGCTTGTGAATCTGGGTCGGAAAAAGCCGATAGAGACATCTACAGAATCCTGAACATCGGAATCGGTTACTTCACTGAGGCAGGTCCTTCAATTGACGCCATTGTTTAAGTATAGATCTTACATATTAGTAAGATAATATGGTGCTAAAGTGTTAATTGTAAGTAAATAAACATATGACTGTTAAATTAAAGTAAATAAACATGTGACTGTTACTTGTATCCACGACATTGCGCTGTGGATCAACTAGCACCGTGTTTGCCCAATATTTGCTCAATAGTTATATCATTTTTATATGAATATGTTATTATTTAGTTGTTATTTTCACAAATTGTTTATATATTTGGCTTTGTACAATTAAAACCATTTATTTAAAGCTTTTTTTGACGATTGAATCTGTATTTATTTACCTTAGGTTTGGTATCATACAAGACTGCATAAGTATGTATACAAAAATATACGGTAGGCCTTCATTTAGTTGCTAAGTGTTTTAGAGGCAAAAAACTGAACACTTTCTTTACGATAAATTAGATTAGATAGATTGTTAACTAACTACATTGTTAAATATGTTACATTAGATATGTTTAACATATCTAATAGAATATGTTAAACTTACTAAACCATTAAACTTATCAAACCACAGCCCCTTGTGTTCTAGAGCGCAACACAAGGGGCGCGAGTGCTTGCGAGACTTCTGTACCAAAGTCTTAATTTATAGTGAACGCTGTATTTTATGTTACTTTCAGCGGAATTCCCATTTAGGCAATACATTTCCATAGGTCTTATGGGTTGGACCTGGAACGGATTTGCTTCTTTGTTTTGTGACCCAAGAGGCAACAAATTTTATCCGTTCAGATTCAAATATATATTACTTTCAAAGTTCATAAAAACTGATTAAATAAATACAAAGCAAAATACTTTTTGTAAGTAACACAGCAAAGAGAGATTATCTCATATATTTTTTGTGATAAGGGTTTACCGCTCTTGTTAGGCTATACGACAAGAGAAAGGCAGAATATACTGTATTTAGTTGGATTGTTTTCAATTCTAGAAAGTATATTGATGAATGCTATTAGTCTAAAAACTTTCTTCACTATTAGATTTTCACTAATACAATTTGGTACTCTTTTAGTAATTGGTTATAATTTGAGGAAATATTACGACAGGACGTCGTTAATTATGGGATATTATGTCTAAAGAAAGTTATAGTGCGGATAATCTATATTACAAAGACGACTTTACCTTCATACGATAAAACTAAATTGTAGCTGATCAGTAGGCCTACAGTAGTTGGAATAAGCGTTATCTTATTTCACTTTATAATTTTATCAAATTAAAATAATTTTTTACAATTAATATTATTAACAAGTATGAAATAGATGATGTACCCTTAAAATAATGTTAGTCATACTATATCACCTGCTGGAAGCTGGAGCACTGGGGAACTTGATCCAACTTACTCTTGAACAACAACTTGATTACAGCTCATGTTGTAAGTTGTGTCTCTGTGTAAATGTTGATTTACTACAAACACATTTAATTGAAATTCTAATATATAAATTCGCTAAAATCTGCATCTGTAAGATATTTGTCATATTCAATGGTCATAAAAAATAAGTTAACTTATGTCAGTAAAATGTTTGTTACAATTTGGCCGTTACTATTTAATTGAACAATAATTAGTCTTGACAAAACTAACTTGAATGCATTACTTACATGCAGCAATGCCGATAATTTAAGAGGGAATCTGTCATGAGCTCAGTAGTGGTAGTTTTATCTATCCAGCAAAATTCCAAGATTATTAGTGCGCAGGGACTCGCTTGTCCCTGGATAACTACATTTTTACCATAAATTAGATTATAATTCATTTATGGTCCACACCACTACAGTGTTTTAAAATTGGTATTTAAAGTGTGTTTCCGGAACTCCTTTTGTATATTAATTTGTTCCTTAGGTCAAAAAATGCAAAAACACCGAATGGACATGTGTCTAAAATGCCTAGTTTTCTGTCTGTGTGTCTGTATGTGATGTTCACAAATGAATCCATAACTTTCGAACTCCTTAAGCGGTTGACTTGAAACTTGGTACGTAACTATTGACAGGCAAGTCTAGTCTTTGCACAAAGTATCAGATGTACAAATAAATTGTGCCAATCGAAAGTTGCGGACATTTAAATTTCTATCTTAAATATCTTTAAAATAAGTGATGCTACTAAAAGATAACAAGAGTATGTTTCTTTAGAAAACCTCATAGCTAATCCGTCGGTACTCAAGCTGTAAAGATCAGTTAATAAACAACCAAGATATAGCCTAACATTGTTTTCGAGACCGCGCATGGTCCAGACCGCCGCGTCATACCTCACCAAAGAGACGCGTCGCGACGGTGGCGCGTGTCAACCAAGGGAAATAATTAAAACGTCATAACATTCATATGCACGGTCCCACAAAAATTGTCATATCTTGGTTGTTTATTGACCGATCTTTACAACTTAAGTAACGTTGAATTAGTCAATTTCCTAAAACGCGTACACGTGATAGTCACATCACTTATTTTAAAGATATTTAAGATAGCAAATTTTAAATGTCCACTATTTTGGATTGATATAATTTATAAAAAATATGATACTTTTTACAAAGATTACGCTTACTGGTCACTACTTATGTACCAAGTTTCAAATCAATCGTTAAGCTAAGGAGTTAAAAAGCTATGGATTCATTTGTGAAAATCACATACACACACCCAGACAGTTAACCAGGCATTTTAGACCCATGTTTATATGTTTTTTCGTTGTTTTGACCTAAGGAACAAATATACAAAAGGGTTCCAGAGAGTTCCAGGCACCCTGTATATCTTTGATCAAAGACAAATCACTATCAATTGCACTAATTACTTGGAATGAACGAAAAAATCCTATAATTGCTGAAAAACATATAATTTGTAAGAAAGCAAATAAACTTCTCAATTTCAACCTATTTGTAAATTAATATACCTTGATATATATTAGAAATATGATAAGCGCATGAATCTAAACGTTAATAGTTTGATTAAATAGCGTTTCTGATCTCAGTTAAAAAATGAAGTTCTTTATCCAAGTAAAAATTTTCTTTATAAGTGTTTTTTTCTTGGTTTGGTCTAATTAAGTTTTGTTTCTTCACTCTTGAAAACCTTATTTTTCTGAAAACAAAATTGGGTACTGTAATTTAAGAACACTGCTGTTTTAAGTAAAAAAATAACAAAAACAAATTTAGATATTTTAAATAAACCAGTTCTCTTATTATTAATTTTGAAACCTTAAGGGGATGAAAAGGAAACGAGATTTTTCAGTAGCAAACAATTTAATTTCTTATATTAAATACTAGCGTCCTTTGTACAGGGTTGGCGTATAAGTATAAAATGCTTATTGCAGTTATAATTGTGCTTTCCGTTTGCAACGGGAGAGGACACGGTTTAAGAAAATTTGGTTCTTTTAATTTACGATATGCTATAGTATAGCACATCTACCATAGCCATAATATTATCATTGACTAGTTGTATTAATAGTCAAAGATATTATCATAGAACCAACTTGTGTTGTTGCAACAGCTGACAAAATTGTTTTATCCATCTATATATATATATACTAGCTGGCCCGACAGACGTCGTCCTGTCCAAATGTGGTTTTATGACAAATGCTCGTCCATTTTCAAGATGAGCACGTTCACATTGCTCAATCACGTCCTGGTTGAAGTTCGTTTGCTACGCTTACTCCCCTGCAGGTTGGAGCTCGTTCGCTGCGCTCACTTGCCTTCGGTTTGGCTCGTTCGCTACGCTAACTCGCCTCCAGGTTGAAGTTCGTTCGCTACGCTCACTCACCTTTTGTTGCAAATTAGCTGTTGTCATAAATTAAAAATATATAATAGTGCTGCACCCTGTTGGTCAACCTTTTAACTTTTTAATGCTATTGAACACCACAGAATCAAATTGTTTAGTTGAACCAGCTGTTGAGATTCTTTAATTCCATTTAATTATAGGTTCTCATAAGGTTTGTAAAAACATAACATGGGAAACTCCAGAGCCACTGGGGCGGAGCCCTTTTGACGGATCTGCACCAAACTTCACACAAACCATCCTTGAATAATGCTTAATAATGCCTGAAAGTTTCATTACAATCAGTCAAGCGGTTTCGGAGTCCATAACGTTCAAATATATATATATATATATATATATACAAACTTCCTCTTTTATAAATATAGATTATACGCTAAGCCGGTTTTTGTGAACAGAACTCCTCGCTCATTTTTGGACCGATTTTGATGATTTAAGTGTCAAAAAAATTGCCCTGATCTGTAGTTTTGCAAAGTGTTTTTCGTTTTTTGATATCTTTATTAGTTTGGTCAGGATCTTCCATCAAAGTTGGGTTTTCTCCCTTAAGATTAACATGGGGGAATCTAAATATTTAATTGGGAACTTTGTCTCCACTTATTTGAGAGAACGGCTGGGCGTAGAAACTTGGTAGAGGTCTCCAAAGAAAGATCTTGGTCTGTAGATGAGTTATCAAAAGAAAAACGGAGTAAATTCGCTTAGGACTCTGCCCCAGACGTTTTTAAAGATCCATCCACAGATTTGTTTACATTTTTGGTCATGTTGATAATACCTTTATTAATAAAACAGCTGTTAATTTTAAAATTGTGTTTTAAACAACACACATTTATTGGGAGTTACTGAATTGTCCAAAAGAAGTATTTGCAATGTTATTTTCGGATTTTAAAATTTATTTTCCTCTGTATCATTTGTGTTGCAATATAAGGTTCCATTACGAAATCAGTGGAAAATCCTTTTATCACAATAACTCCTAAAATTGTTTATTATTGAACTATCTTAGGCCTATATCTATTTTACGGGTTGGTGTCTGCCTTTTTCACACCTTTTCCCTATATTTTATCATATTATTCTAGACAGATCATTAGGTTCATGAGATTATTGTCATACATGCTTTCAACCATTGGAAAAATCTTCGCTTGTGTAATACAATACAAAATAATACAAGTGCAGAAGGGCACGGTGCCCATTTGAGCCGTGTCCATATTTTGTTAAATTAATAAGTGGTTTACAGCAACTGGATAACACATTTTACAATATTTATGTAGAAAGTTGTGCATGATTTAGAAAGTCATTAAGCTGGAAAACTGCAATATACTGCAGACTTTTCAGAGAGGTTACTTCGATGTATTCATTCAGCTTAGTGAAAACATAATATAGATATGTATACAAATAAGAACTTGAACTCTTAGAGAGCCTTTGAATGTTATTAGACTAACGAAAAAGGCTGTGCATGTTTACTAGCGCTACTCAGCAACAAAAACCATTTAATTTATCTCTAAAATATATATTCTTAAAGTGCATTGAGCAGTAACCT